CCTCCTCAAACTTCTCCTGGAGTTCTGCCACAGCTTGCCTCAACTCCCCTACATCTCCAGCCCATGCCGGATCCGCCTCCTCCAACACAGGTTCCAAATTTCTTCCCCTCGCCATCTTTGAGCAGCAACAAGTGGGGGATTTTACAGAGAGAAACCGAAGCCCTCCCCAACCTTCATTGCTCTTCTCACAACTCTGCTTCTGGATTGAGCTCCTTAGCCTGGCTGCGGAATTTTACAGAGGGTACTTGTCCCTCCAACCCTCACCGGCTTAGCACCACCCAGATCCAGAAGCTGGCCAAGAATCGCCTTGCTCTGATACCAGATTGTCAAGACCCGGCCGATTTGAGCCCTGATTCAACAGAAATTCAGAGAAATTTAGCCATGTAGCTACCTATTGGGATCATATCTGGAAAAGATAAAAGGGAAAGGAAAGAACTGTGCGCCGCAAGAATGAGTAGATAAAATTAGGGTTTGAATTGTTCGATACATCCTTCAGATTCAGAAGCGGCTTATATTCTTACGCCATTACAAGCACACACAAAAAATGACGTAGCACAGTACGGCAACGGACAGCTACAGCTACTACTTCGATCAGTGTGATCCCTTGGATCTTCATTAACTTCTCCTGTGAACCGGTATCGTGTAATATGGGCCGTCCATCTCCTTATCTCCTCTTCTTCTCAGAACTTAACTTCAACTGAACAATTTCTTTTCAAAACTCTGCATTCTCAGTTCCTGTCACGCTTGCTATGGGAGGCCATGGCGGTGGAGCGGTGGTGAGCGGCGCGGCGCAGGAGACAGAGACGGTGTGGAAGAAGATGCAAGAGGAGAGACGAGAGATCTACCTTGGGGAAGAGCCCCCTTATAAAGGCACGTACGTACGTATACGCTGCCCTGTATACGAAGTACAGTATGCTACATTACACTGTACGTGAGCTTCTTGAGGCTTATGAAATCTACTCCGGAGTCCGGAATGTTCCAGTGGCGGAGGCCATCGTGGCCGTCGGTTAGGAGGATGGAGAGCGTGGATTAGGCTAGACCCGCATACCCCTCCCCGAGGGGACAAATCCCCGGCTCCTTATCAAATATTCTGCTCAGCCCGAACATTAGCTTCTCGGCCCAAAACCCTCTACGAGGCAGGCCGCTTGGGCGCCTGGACTTTTGAACACGAAAAAGGTTACTTTTGGTCCCTTCTATAAGGCTCGAGTTTTAGATTGCGTCCCTCGGTAACAATCTATCCCTCATTTTTATAACTTAGTATAAACTAGAAAAAATATTCGTACATTGCAACGGTAGAGAGCTAGATGAAATGAGAGGAGTGTCCTAGTAAGAGGTGGGTGCAATTCGGTAGGTAAGGTTGGGCAGCGTGCAGGCGACCTCCCCAACAGCCTCGGCTGGTCGGTCCACATGGTGGCGCCGTGACATGGAGAGAAGCGGGCAGACTTGAGGGTAGAGATGGCAATGGGGACCCATAACCCAAGACCCGACAGGTTTTTATTCTACTAGAAGCTAATCGTATTTTAACTCTTATACCCATGGGTCTACTAACGGGCGAAAACTCTTACCTATTGAGTACGTGGGTATGGGTATGTTCTTTACCCACCCGTACCCACCAACCCATGGGTAAAAAAATTCGTTGATTAAGCCTAAAACTATTAGCAATATAAGTCTCAACGACTACTAAATCATAGCATAAAACTCCTTTCACATCTTAAGTATTGTTATAGACTAGTTATATGAAATTATTATTTGATTTCTTGATTATGTAATGTGGTTGTATAATTTTTTTTACTCGCCTTTGAACACTAATATTAATAGCATTGTTGCTAGGGAAAATATTAATGGTTTACAACTCTAATATGGCTAATTAGAATACAAAACTATAAATGCTACAAATCAATTATATGGGTATGGGTACCCGTTACCTGTATGGATGTGGGTATGGGGACGATTTTGTACCCGCGACGGGTGTGGGTATTTAAGTGGGAATATTTTGACATCGTGGGTGTGGGTATGGGGCAGGGGAACCCGATGGATATGCACCCGTTGCCATCTCTACTTGAGGGCAGTGCCTCGCCCCAGGTTGCAGCGACGACACTACTCGAGGTGCCTAGGAGCAAGTGCATATCCAATATTGGAGCGGTGGGGTGTCGAGCCCTGACTCCACTACTAGCGTGAAGACCACAAGAGTCCATGAAGCCCCTGCTAAATTTTTTTTTACTATAGATGGATGAGAGAGAGGATTGTAGTTTTATCTAGTTTGTTTAGACATCTCTGTTTTTTTTTTATCTGCCACTGCACGTCTGCACGGGAGCTAGCGCGGAAGACGTCGGGGACGGAGAGGGTGCCACGTACGGTGCGTGGCGGTCGGGCACGCGCGCTGCGGCGAGGGACGCCCGGAGGAGCGGCAGCGCGCGCGCCGCGCGCCGAAGCGGAAGCTAAGGGAGCGCGTGGCGTACGTCGCGTCGTACACGCTGAGCATGGCGAACGACGGCGCCGGGGCTACATTCAACGGCGAGGTTCATGCATGCCACGGGTGAGCTCGTGTGCGAGGAGCGCCGTGAGGTCGGCGGGGACAGCGTGCCGCGGGAAATAGCGCCGCGTAGGCCGCTGCGGCGGTAGCTGTAACGCGCAGCGCGCGAGAGACACGCGCCCAGTGCCGATGCACGGGGTGCACCAGGACTTGATCCGGCCCGCCCCTGGAACAGCGAACGCGCCGTGTTGGACGCCATCGTACGTCGCGTACGCCGCGCACCACGTCTTCGCTCGCGCCACCACCTCCGTCGTGATCCCGAGCCGCCTACAACGATCGAACACCAGTTAGACATGGCACGTACGTACTACAAAGCTTAGCTTGGACAGTCGGACGCACGTGCATGGCCGTGTAGATCACCTATGAGACGGCGACACCGGACACCGGACACGCCGCCTTCACAAACTTCTTCGTCTTCCTCAAGTTGCTGCTGCCTCTGCTCACCATCCTCACACGTACACGTACGCCTTGATCACTTCCACGACCTGCTCGTTGTCTCCACACTCAACGACCTACACATATCAGGCACTCTTCGAACGTGGGCTGCAGCGCGAAACAGCCACTGGGTCCTACATGCCCCCCCCCCCCCCCCCCTCCTCTTTCTTTCCCATGTCACCGACATATGGACCCCACTAAGCAACCTAAGACAACTTTGGAAACTGCTTGGGGTGCAAAATGAACCGGTATTGGCAATTAATAGATTTCGTATACCCGGTCTGTGGTTGAGGGATATGAATCAAAATTACCCCCAAGTTATATACACGCAGAAAATTGTCTTTTTTATATTTCTCCAGTATACATAGAATTTTGAGTTAATTTTTGTTTTTGTTGTCTATGAGTATACATAGAATTTTCCAGTCCGCGCCATCGTCCCTTTCTCTATCCTCTTCTCTCTCTCTCTCTCTTTTTCGCTGAGGGATGGGTGGATGGTGTCAGCGTTGCAGATGACCATACATAGAGACAACCACGTGATAAGGAGGAACTCCTCGTAGGAGTCTTGTGCGCGTGGCAAGGTTGCGGAACTCACGGGTGAGATTAAGGCTATGTACAAAGGTAGAGTCAGGTATGAGCTCTACATTATCTAGAGACTAGCATCCTACAACAGTTGGAGACAATATGGTCTCTAATCACTAATGTATCAAAATATTTTTTCTTACTCTTCTTTCCTTTCTTTCGCCACCATGCAACAAAAATTACTCTAATAAATGTTAAGAGTCGACTCTGAGCCATTGTCATGCATAACAACCATATTTCTCTTTCTTCCATGTCATCAAATTTTACTTGCATAGCAATAAAGAAAGACCACTAATAAAAACCGTTGTACATGCCCTAATGGCCAGACGGTTTCCAACCTGTCCTCGAACCTGTTCACTTCATCACCACTTTCAACTCAGCCAAAAATTTAATAGGGTAACAAACTAAGCATTATCTTACCAATATCATTCTACCAATTTTGGTAATTCTGGAATTTTTTTCTCTTATAAAAACGATATCAAATTTTAGAGATGCATCGAACTAAATACATCCAAACACTATTAAAATTTAGCAATGCCAAAATTTACTAAAATCGGCATTAAAATGAACAAGCCCTCGTTACCATGGCCCTCAATATAGATGCCCAGATGGGCCACCCAGTCCGACATGGCCCAGGCACAACTGGGCCTGAGCCAAGGTTAGTCGGGTCGACACGGCTCAACCTACGCGCCGGGCCAGGTTGGGCCTACCCACGGGCTGCACCCACGGCCCAGTCATGGCATAATAGGACTCGGCCCGCGGCCCGAAGGCACAACCGCCCATCGTGCTTCTTTATAAATTAAGTCTATTTTTCCATCCTCATCTCTTTGGGTTGTGCCTTATGGTTAGAATAAGTCTATTTTGTCCCCCTTCAGGCATGGCACAATAGGACTCGGCCCGCGGCCCAAAAGCACAACAGCCCATCGTGCTTCTTCATAGAATAAGTCTATTTTTCCGTTCTCATCTCTTTGGGCTGTGTTTCATATGGTTAGAATAAGTCTATTTTATCCCTCTTCTCTTTGGGCCATATCTTATATGAATGAATTAAGTCTAATTTAGATCCCTCGACTATTTTTCTTTGACCATGCCGTGTCGGACCGGCTCACCGTGCCAAGGCATCGCCCTAGGCACGGCCCAACTGTCGGGTCGGGCTGGCACGGGTCCGACACCAATCGTGCTGTGCTTGTGCTTCAAATAACCGTGCCGTGGACCGGGCCGTCGGGCCTCGGAGCTTATGGCCATCGTCTTCTTGTTCGATTCAAACTCTTCGTGCTCTGCCCGCACGGTTCCATACCCTACTCGTTGTGTTGTTCTTCTTCTACGTACGTCTTCGATGCAATGCATCGGTGATCGTCGAAGCTCGAAGGACCTTGTGTGATTCCGGACGGCGACCTCTATGGATTTGTTCCTGTTTCAAGGGCCATGGACAAGGTCGATGTACCGGCTGTCGGTGTTTGAAAATGACACAGTTGGACATGGCCCATGGACAAGTGGACTTTGACACAGATTTGTGTTGCAATATTCGGCAAACATAGCTAGCTTACTGTAAATGTGTAATAAATCATATCGATTTACTTATAGTCCGTATGATCGTCGCCGAGGTCTGCCGTGACGACGTCGACGAGGAAGTCGAAGAGATCGGTGTTCTGCACGGCGGCGGCGACGTCCTCCTTGTGCACAGTCCGGCGCTTGCCCTCGAGCGTGGCGGCCCAGGCGCGGCGCGTCAGCTCGGCGATGAACAGCTCGCACGCCTTGGAGAACACCACCGGCGCCTCCCCGGAGATCATCCTCGCCCCGCCGCCGCCGCCGCCGCCGCCGTCGACGACGCTGCTGTCCCCCGCCGACCGCTTCATGATCTTCTTGATGCGAGCCAGCGGCAGCGCGTGCGGCCCAGTCCGCGCCGACACGCCGCCGGCGAACATCGCCGAGTAGGGCCTCGCCTGCCTCATCTCGCCTCCTTAATTACTGGTTAACCAATGGTGCAATCCGCTGCCGGAGACGGTAACGATGGAATGGATATTTATACGCGGCCATGCATTTGACTTTGCGAGGAGCGTGCGTCGCCGGCGGAGGCCGGCAAATGGAGGAGGCCGGCCGTTTTGACAGTGATCGGTACTTTGCAGAGATTATGAAATTTAACAAAGTACGAGATGTTTAATTAGGAACATAGGATTGTGTACGTTGCTTTCACTTGCACTGTGCAGTCAAATTTTTGGCCCTTGTTGCTTGCATCCTTGTGTTGCATCATTGCTTGCTAGCTTCTCCTAGCCTCCTTGTGTTAGTGCACATGTCATTCGGATGGTGAGTTATTTTCTAATCAAAGATCTAGAGGCTAGCTATGTGGCGCGTTTACCAGTATTCGAACAAATATTTTTTAGATTATTTACCAATAGAACATTGGTATAGTCGTTGATACAAACAAGCTATTTTTGATTGAAATTATTGTTACTGTTACGCTATTAATAGTGGAGACAATGCTTGATCATTAGTCTTTATTCTATTGGAAAATATATATGTAAGAATCCTTTGTTTTTGTTGTGACTTTCGAGGATGACTTTTTTTAACGAAATTTTCATGGGGCAAATTTGGATCGCGACCAAATCTTAACAACATCTTGGTGGGCCGAATTAGGATCGTAATTTTAGTGGGCCGATATATTCCTTTCCCCTTCATCTCATTGTACCGCACAATGGGCGTAAGGCTACGTAACTGCAGCTGCAAAGCGTAAAATGCATTGACGCCTTCCCCGTCCTCGATGCTCCCCTCCTCCGCCGCCTCCTCGCCGCCGGCGCCGCCGCCGTCGCCATGGGACGACGTCTCCTGGGCGGAATCCACCTCCTCGACTGTTCTCCAACACTACAACTCTCTCCCAAAGAAGGGCAAGCCGCAGGGGCGGGAGTCCACCGTCCTCGCCGCCTTCCTCCTCTCCACTCCGCAGCAGGACCCCCGGAATCTCACTGTTCTCTCGCTGGCCACCGGAACCAAGTGTCTCGGCGCCGCTCGCCTCAACCACCACGGAGACCTCGTCCACGACGCGCATGCCGAGGTCGTCGCACGCCGCGCGCTCCTCCGCCTCATCTACACCGAGATCGGCCGGAGCGGCGCTTCCGATTGGTTGGTTGCTTCCGGTGAGAAGTGGAAGTTGAGGGATGGGTACCACCTTCATCTCTACATCACCCAGATTCCATGTATATTCGGTTTGCTGTTCGCCGGTTCGCATTTTTTTTTAGGCTTAGCCGATTGTTTGATCAATTGAAATGGCAAAGTTCTACACATTTAGAGTTCAATGGATTCCTTGGTTTGGTGAATTTTGCAGGTGGAGTCATGCCTGTTCCACCATCTCCCTCAGAGTTGCTCAGGGAACAGCTGGATAGTGTTAATGGATGCGATGGTATGCCTCTTTCTTGGCATTGAGCAGAACAGTAAATTCATGTTTATAGCTGCTAATTTTCTTTTACTATTAGCCTTACGTTTGACAAATTGTATTAATCAGTTGATGGCTTGTTAGAAATGCTTTATTTGTCCTGGTAACATTTAATTTCTACTTAAGTTTTTCAATGAGACGCCTACTCATGTATCTGGAGTAGCAGTTGATTCATGTCTTTAGCTGTGACATCGTACTGTAACTCAGTAGATATGTCGAAGTTTCTTATTTGGCTGATTTTCCAGTACTTGTTGTTTTTCCTTTCTGTTGGAAAAAATGGTATCATGAAAGTGTGGGAGTGGAACTAGCTCCCAGGTGCTAAACAAGTTGGCGTTGGTGACCAATGCACACCAATTTTCTAGACTTGGAACTGGAGAGTTTTAATGGGGATTACACTAAATCTAGACTCCATGGGTATATAATACAGTCTGGGAAACTGATGGATCTTTCATCTCGGTTTAATTGTTTTTTTCAAGATGTGCCTACTTTGCCCGCATGTTAAAAGTCTAATTCATTTCATTGTCTTAGTGTTATTTTTCTGTGTCCATTTTAATTGGTAGACTGCCTTGTGTGACAGATGTTGGGTTTGTTCAAAGGAAGCCTGGGCGTGGTGACACTACATTATCAATGAGTTGTTTTGACAAAATAACTCGCTGGAGTGTTGTTGGAATTCAAGGTTTGTTGTCCACGATCATTTTCAATTCAATGTTATAAGTTTGTTGATTGCATCCTATGTGGCAGCATTTTCATGCTATTCATCATTTGCTGTTCATGGCAATATATGCTGCAGATCTGCTGAAGTAATATATAGTGGACATGCTAGTATTTCTCCACAATTATATTGCTTCTTTATTTTTCTAGTTACGATATTCCCGTTTCACGGGTCAATGGATCAACTCTATAACCCCTTACCTCTGTTCTTTCACAGGTGCATTACTGTCTCACATTCTTGAGCCCTTGTACCTGTCCACCATTACTATTGGACAATCACCTACTGGTGCTTCTGATGGGTTTTCTGTTGAAAATAATATCAAGAAAGTTCTCGATGCTCGACTGTCCTCTCTATCCAGCAAACTGCTGTTGCCTTTTAAATTGAACAAGGTCGGAGTGGCAATGTTGTGTACTGATATACAAATCATCTGCTAACTTCTCATGACAGTGGATCCGTTTTCTTTCCTACAGCCACTATTTTATGAGGCACCTATCCCTCCAAAAGAGTTTCAACAGACTTCTGGAGATTTGCAACCTTTGACATGCGGGTAGTATATGGTTTGTTGTCTTTATAAACTTAGACCCTTTTTTTTTAGTTTACCTCATGTAGTATGTACATGTTTTTAGTAAGAGCACCTAGCTTTGCAATTTATATTTTACTAGGTACTCGATATGCTGGAACAAATCCGGTTTTCATGAAGTTGTCTTAGGAACAACTGGGAGAAAACAGGGTACATCTTCAAAGGCAGCATGCTCACCATCCACTGAGTCATTGCTCTGCAAGTAAGAGGGTGCATCCTTTCCCATTCCAAGCATCCTGATGCAAAACTGTTATGGTATATTTATATTCTGTTTTTTAACTGTAGGAGAAGGTTGCTAGAAGCCTTTGTGTTGATTGAACATCCATTAGTCAAAAAGTTCCATCGCGAGGAAATGTCCTACCGTCAAATCAAGGTATTTCATCTTATATTGGAAAATACAGTAGCTTAGTAGCGTATGATGAACTAACCCTTTTGTCAAACGATTCTAGTGTCTGATGAATATGAGAAGTCAATGACTGACTACTGGAAGGTGGCTGATGTTCTTTGCAGGATATGGCTCATGAATACCAGCAGACACTTGAGCTTCTCAGGAAGGCTCCATTTTTTAGCCGGTGGAGTGCTAAGCCTGCATCCCTCGATTCATTCACGGTTTCACGGTGAGATTAACCCCCAAATGGCTCTTTGAGTTCCCCCAGAATGATGTTTTCAGTGCTAGTTTTAGTGTTGAGGTGTGTTAACTCTGAATTTGTTCAGAAAATGTATGCTCTTCAGCCGATGCAGCTCTGAACTACTGTACAAGCTGTCACTGTAACAAACCTACAAAACTTTTGGCGTTATTAGGTTAAGATATGGATAACTCATGCTGTCTTGCTCAAATTTGTAAGGGGGTAAATTAAAGTCTCATTTAGACTTAGACAAGGTCTCATTTTGGTACGGAGACCCACTGAAAATCTGAAATGCTGGATGTTAGGTTGATACTACTAAATTACAGTTTGCCTATCAATGGATGTTAGGTTGATACTACTAAATTACAGTTTGCCTATCAACGGCCCAACCTTTCCTTTTACTGTATGTCATTTTTTTAAAACATTTCTAGCCATTATTCAGATGATGTTTCACATTTGTAGTTATGTTAAAACACTAGAATTCCACATGAATTTCGTCAGATATATAGTTCAGTTCCCGTCGGAAACCTACATAATTTCCCACTCTAGCCCAATCACCTTCCAGATCGTCGTTGCCGCCGGAGTCAGCGACTCATCGCTCGCCGTCGTGAATCTCGTGACGCTGCCATCGCAAAGGCCAACACGCATGATTGGAACGGATGATCTCCCCGTCTCCTTTTTCTGCGTGTTTTCTGAATGGATCCAATGATTAGAGTCGCTAAGCAGTCAGGCATTAGCTGCCTGCACGTAGTACACGGCAGGCAGTTGCACGGAGTACTATCTACTGGCCTGAATTCGTAGCTGCTGCAGTGCAGAGAGCAGAGTGGCCTGGGATATTAAGAGCTGACCAGCGCAGCTGAACTGCTCTGATCTGGAGCATCCAACGAACAAATCTCTTTTCATAAAAGCGAAGCTTGGACCAACCTAAACAGGAGAGAAAAAAAAAGAGAGAAGAAAACGCGTGTTAGGGTAGAGAATCATCACGGCGAAAAACAGAGGCTGGGATTGATCAACCGAGTGTATTAAAATTCACAAGATCAAGTGTAAATTTCTTTCTGTACTGAAAAAAAAAGATGATCTCTGCACTGAAGAAATGGAGAGCAAAATGCCGAAATGATTGGGGAAAATGTGCAGATGTAGACATACATATATGGCCTGGCAACTTTACATCTGTGCTAGTGTATGATCTAAGGAGCATTCAATGGGTAATGGCCCTCTCTCGCTTTTGTCTTTAGTCCAGTGAGTCCTCACCGTCCTGCACTCATCTAAGCCTGCACCAACAGCTAACAAAACCAGGACACAAGTGAGAGCAGTACAGCAGCAAGGTCTTTTACTTCTGGGTACAAAGTCCAAACATCTACTAGTAATGGCGTTGTCAGCCAGTAAGTTCATCAGTTCATCTGGCCTGAATTTCCTAGAACTCGCTCTAATGATCAAGTTACAAAGAGAAGAAGAAGATCTTGAGATTTCTTTTTTGTTTGTTTGTTTGTTATGTTGAAAACCTTCACTTGTAAGTAAAGAGAGTATTTGGCAATGGCAGTGGCATTGTGGGTGTAGTGGTATAGTGCGGTGAGACAGATTGTAGAGGAGTTTGTTGTTGCTGGATTCCTCAAAGACCCACTTGCTTAGGAGCTCCTCAAGTAATGTACTTGCTTAAGCTTCAATTCACACCACTATCTTCTGTATAGTCGAAACTAGGATAAGTTAAACTAACATATATTCAGTTCTTGCTTTTCTCTGAGGTGTGAGAGAAATGAAAAGGGTGGCCTTACTCGTGCCGGCCCAATTAAACTTTTAAGTGGATCGTCTACTTGACAAGTGTCAATTGGAAATTTTGCAAGTATATATGTTATATAGATTGACTTTAGCCTTTAGGCGTTTGCTGAATGGAGTGCAAACATGTTTCCGAATTTTCGCTTATGAATCACCAAATTTCATTTTGTCATGTAGAATATAGGTATGACTTAATGACTGACTAAAACTCTTGAAACCCGGAGCTATGTCTGAAGAAATGGTTGTAATTAACTAACATATTGACAATGACAAAGAACCAAACCTTCCTTTCCTTCTCTCCTTTGTTTATCATCTCACTCTTTCCTTTCTCATTAACTACAAACTGCTTTACAAAAGCATAGCGTCAATGCCAACCAAGCAATGAGGCATCTGCTTCCTAGATCAATGCTAAGTACACACTTGCTCTCTAAACAAATGTTCTAGTGCAATCTAATCATACCTACAATACACAAGAAATGCTAGCATCATGCATATTTTCATCGATCGGTCTCAGCCTCTGAATTCTTTTAACTGCCACCAGCACACCAGGATATGCAAAGGCAAAGGTGACTGCAGAGAAGAGAGGCTGGCGATGGTTGTTGACATGGGACCATTGATTTGTTGCAAAAGACCTAAGTTTTTCATGGATTCTGCCTAGCTCCACGAATGGATGGGAGGCAGAGACAGATGCAGAAATTAAAAGAATCCAGCATCAGAGACCGAAAGATACGGCTAAGAGACCAGACAGACCCTGGACCCCAAGTGAGCACATGCATGTTTAAATTATTGAAAGCAACCATTAAGAAACATATTTGCATGTAAGTGCTCTTAATGTAGGCAAAAACATATTGATGGCGCCTCTTGTTCATGAAGGAAAAGTGGTGATGACCGAACTTGCAAGTTTTATCTGCAATCCTTTTGTTGCTTCTGAAAAACTGAATTTCTCACCCTCTTGGTGCTATCTTTCTTGTTACTTTTGGATTAATGGGCCTTTTGTAGTGAATTTCTCACCAATCTTGATATATTTCTGAAAACTGAATTTCTCACCTTCCTTTTTCTTGTCAATTTTGGATTTAATGGGCTATTTTGTTTGAGATATAATCAGATGAAGGGTTGGTGGTCGAGTGCCGAGTGGCCTAATACTGCGTGCCTTGCGCCATCAGAAGAGCTGTGGACACAAACATGATATCTTAGTTGGTGTGGCCTCCTCAACCATCAAGCAATACAGACAAGGACCCCTCCAACTGCAAGAAAAACTGCCATTTTACAGCTCAAATCCAAAATCTAATCTCCTCATCTTGCTAATCAACCATTGCCTTTGCCAGAAGGAGAGGCCTACTTTTGGCTTCCTTGAATTATGGATTTCAATAAGCTGGTTGGAAGATGAGGAACACTTGGTGCTCACTGCAATGATATTGCTACGTTTGAATTCATGAGCTGCTTACACATTTGCAAAGAACCATTGGCCACCATCAATCTGAAAAACGAAGTACTATATTTTTAACAAAGTGTAATGCTCCCCAGAAACAGTAATCTAGTGTCAGGGAGGAGACAGCCATCTGGGAGGTTTTGCCTTTTGCTGCTGCTGTCTGGCCTGATCACATCAAGGCTGCTTGCTTCCAAATTACTCAATACCAATACAGTTTAGTTTATACACACGATGGCATGTCCTGCAGTCCTGGTCACTGTGATCTGAGGCCATCTCTGAATATCCAAGTACCAAGTGGCAAGCTCTCTGGTGACCTCAGTTTCAGTTTATACGGAAACATTTCTTTCGTGTACATAGTTTCTCATAACTCTTAATTATATACCAACCCAAATAGACACAAGAGATATTAGTACAATGCAGTATAATAAATTGACTAGAGAATCATACAGACCGAAAGAAAAAAAGAAAGAAAGAAAGAAGAATTTTGAAGTACAGTAGTAGGTCCTAGCAACAATTGGGGCAGGTCTTTCTTCCTTGACGCTGCAACAATACTCCTATAATCTACTTGTCCCTCCATATTTAAATGCACCAAAGAAAGAACTGTTCTATAGTTGATGACCTTGAATCAATGCCTCCGTTTTCTCATTTCGCTGCTAGCTCTCTTTCGGTGCAAGAAGTTGATTGCCTGCAGTCACCATTGCTGGTCCACACAATCGACTGTGTGCATACTATGCAGAGACCTGGAAGCGTTATAAGAACAATTGTATCATTTGGATGTAATTGACCGAGTTCAATGAAAACTTTACCCTTCACCTCCTGTGCCATTCTATACTACTATACACTGCCTGCCTAAACATAGTGGTTTTGACAGTGTCCTTTCTCTCATGCTGTCACGTTCGATTGCCATGCGATGCAGCCCCGTCTGTAGACACATCTTCATAAAATTGAGGTGTCTGTTTGCTCTCCTCGTACCATGCATGTCGTGTACGCTTCTTGGCCTTGCTGAATGCGATGTTTTTCTTCTCTCCTTGATCTGTTGCCTGTTGCTGGACTCCCAAGCCACCAAGTGGCAAAAAGGATTTGCAATCTCAGCTCCTATTTTTACACGATCTTGGCTGGCAGAAAGGATGATATGATAATATGATATGCTCACTCTGAATATTCAGTGCATCTTACTACTATCTCATTTCTGCAGTTACAGCTTTGCTACGTTATGGCCTCTGAAGAGGGTTGCGTGTGCAGTGTGCTACAACAAACTGAACTGTCTGAACTACGATGTTATAATCAAGAGTGTGACTGAGGCTGTGTTTAGTTCAGCGCAAAGTTTAGATTTTGGTTGAAATTGAAGATGATGTGACTGAAAAGTTGTGTGTATATGACAGGTTGATGTGATGGAAAAGAACTGAAGTTTGGATCTAAATTTTAGATCTAAACACAGCCTGAATCTTTTCTCTTCTTTGGAAGCTGTCTGAATCTTGAATTGCACGTGAACATTATTAGCTGTAAGGCTCCTTTCGTTTCACCCATTTCTGATACGTTGAGATTAACGTTAAGAGTGGGTCCCTTGATTTGCAAACCATATATGCAGAATTGGAATTGGATTCGATCGATCCTACCAAAAATTGTGGTGTCTCATGAGATTAACCATGGCTGCCATGCAAGCAGCAGGACCATGGTGTGATAGTAGGCAACAACCTGGACCCAAATTTGCAGGTGACTACCAAACAAAAAAAAAAGCCACTGTTACTTAATTTGTTTCCAATTCTCTTTCAGCGGCTGATCGATGCCATTGTCAACCAATAATTTCTGAACTGAGATTTTTCTTTTCTGCAACACGACCATGCATTCGAATTAGAAGAAGAGACATGAAGAACATGGAGTATATAAGTCCAAGTGCAAGAGGACAAGAGTCAAGACAAACTAATTACTGAAACTGCCGAGCTGTCTTCACTCCCTCCACCGCTATTACTGCAGCAGCTACGTCTCATCCTTATCCTTCCTCTGTTTACAAAAAATCTAAGGCTCGGTATTATTACAGCGGATTATATGTTCTATTATAGCGATAAATTATTTTTTGTAAAAAAAATTAAAATAAGTTATCTAAGTTTTTTTAAGAAAATGAATTTTCAAAGCGTAGAGTAAATACTATGTTTAGTAATTTAGTGAATAAACTAAAAAGAGCATGACTTAAACACACGTCCAAGATGTACCATGTAGCAGCAGCATTCTAGCAATATAAACCATCTTAAGTTCTTAACAGTATTTCAGCTAACGGTATTGTTTTTGTGTTACCCAATATTAAATCTGTTGTAGCCTAGTTATCACACCATATGCTGTAAAAATAACATGACCTTTTTTATTATATCTTGCTAAGTCACCGCACTGTAATTAAGAGAGAATCCAAGAACGCAGAGAAAATGGAGGGACCACATGAAAAAACAAAGGGAGGACACAGCGTTGAACGGTCAGAAACACCACACCCATTTCTGAAGAACCCCAAAATAAGCTTCTCCTAAAGAAGTTAAAAAATATATAGGCAAAGAGAGTTAAGAGACACTGCAAACAGCACAAGAGCAGATCAAAAAAATGCTGCTAATGACATTCTATAACCAGTGGCTAGTCTTAAAATAAAAGGAAGATGCTCCCTAACCCCTAAATTTTCTTTTGAGATGCTTAATCTCTAACACTAATGCTAATACTCAGTAAGTGGTGGGGGTAATTTGTTAATTAATTGAGTGGTACTTAATTGACAAATTAATAGTGCGCGTGATAACTAATCGGCCACCGCCTCCCCCCACCCTTGCCATTTTAATTGCTCGCACTAAATTAGCCCAACATTCTCCTCGCTTCCTCCTCTTTCTCTCTCTACGCCCTCGTCTCCCTCTCTCTCTCTCTCTCTCTCTCTCTCTCTGCATCTTCTTCTTCTTCTTCCAGTGCTCGGCTCTCTCTTTTACTCAACTGCTCACACTCCCCAAACAACCAACCCACCTCCATCTCCATCTCCATGTGGTGCTGAGGCCGGAGCAGCAGCGAGGAATCGGAGCGGTAGCCATGGCGCCGTGAATTCGCGCGAGGACGTGCGATCTCTGAGAGAGGGGGGAGTGTAGTGCTCGAGTGAGTGATTCGGAGGCGGTGCTGCAGCTGCGGCGGCGTTCGGAGATGAGGCATTGTTGGGGCGGTGCTTCCTCCGTCCTCCGGCTCCTCCTCGCGTTGCAGTGCGGGGTGGTGGTGGTGGTGTTGCAGTGCTCGGCGAATGCGTTGGGCAGTGACGGTGAGTGTTGTCGCTTGCGCGGTTGCGCCGTGTATGTGTGTTCTTCCACTGACTTGGTGTTTTTCTTTCCTGTTTTTTTTGGTCGGATTTTAGGGAGTTTTGTTTGAATTCGTGGTGTTTTTTCTAATTATGCACTGCCTGTGAATTCCATTTCTGGGAGACGTTTTACGGGTTTTTTTTTTACATTTTTTTACCGAGTTTGAAATGGCTGTTCAGATTTTTGGTTCTGATCTATCTTCTTCGAAATTTCCACCTGTTACTCGGTGGAGGCGATGCAAATTTCGAGATTTATCCGCGAAATTTCGTGCCTAAAACTCGAATTCCACCTCCATTTCTATGGTGCATTTCTGATCTGTGACCAACGGTTTTGCTGTGTCTCGTACACTCTCGTTCTGTTCCTCCATGAGAAATGTGGCGTTCTGCTCACACGCGCTTTGCTACGCCTTGTGCTAGTCTCGGCGCTCATCGCGTTCAAGCGCGCAATCATCGAGGACCCCCGGTCGGCGCTCGCGGACTGGAGCGATGCGGACGGGAACGCCTGCGACTGGCACGGGGTGATCTGCTCCTCGCCGCAGGGCTCCGTGATCTCCCTGTAAGAAACCCCCCCCCCCCCCTTGCACCTGCACTCAGCTAGATCTCACTAATGTTTCACCTACTGCTTTACTAGTTACTACTGTGGTACTTACTAGCCGGTAATATCAAATCCTGTTCAACATTACTGTGTACATAAAGTGGGGAGGGAAAAGAGTTTGTTATGGTGATTTATTAATGTTTACATTAGCAGGTACTACAATTTTGTAGGTGAAGACTTGTTTGATACTATAAGCACTGCCACTAGCTTATCGTTGGAGCTGTACAATGCTGTATATGTTTGACATAGACGCATATTGCATGTGCAAACAGCTGGAAATAATGGAGTATGATGTGCCATTTAGATATGTAGTCAGTAGATTTTGTTTGCAATGAAACGCCAACTAAAACCCGTACTTGCGTGATCAGTCAAAATCCTTCTGGGATGGAATTTCTTCTCATGTGTCATGACTCGATGATTCCGCACCTTGCAGGAAGCTGTCAAACTCGTCGCTGAAGGGATTTATCGCGCCTGAACTTGGACAGCTGAGCTTCTTGCAAGAGCTGTATGTTCTGTTTTATTGTTTTTTCAACTGGTTATGATGAATTAGCTTCAAGGTTTCTGAAGGTCTCCTTTTTGGGCAGGTATTTGGATCGCAACATGCTTTTTGGGACAATTCCGAAACAGCTAGGTTCACTGAGGAACCTTAGGGTCTTGGATTTGGGTGTTAATAGGCTTACTGGTCCTATACCTCCTGAGCTGGCTGGATTGAGCAGCGTAAGCGTAATGTAAGATGCCAATTGATTTGCTTATATATTCAGGGTTTTCCTGTCTCTGGTGCTTCTTTGCTATTGAAACTAAGGCTGCTTTCATTCATCTGCTGTAGAAACTTTCATTCCAATGGGTTGACTGGGAATATACCTTCAGAGCTGGGCAAGCTACAGAATCTTGTTCAGCTGAGGTTGGACAGAAATAGACTGAAAGGATCAATTCCTGGAAGCAATGGTTCTGGTTTTTCTCCTACGGCCAATAGTGGGTTGGTGACTTCTCCTTACTCCATTTTTATTTGATGATCAAGACTGTAGATGCATTTTCTATATATATTAAACCATAAAAATGTCACTTAATTCCCTTCAGGTTCCTGTGCTCTTGTATTCTATGTCTATATTTCTGGATATCCATGCCATAGTCAAACCATTTTATTCATGAACTGAACACCGCAGCTATGATATCATGGCGATTGTATTTGTGTGTCCCTCTTAAAAAACATTCGTTCTTACATACTAGTTAATTTGGCAGTAAATTTTGGTGACAGTAAAAAGGATAAGACTAGGTATCAAGTGGTGGTTACTTAAGGCCCCATCGTTTGGCTTTTTCCCTAATAAGCCAAAACGGAATAAAATTAAATTTGTAGGTAAAACTTTTATATGTGTGTTCTTGGTGACTTAAAAGCCAATGCTGAAAAAAAAAACTACGTTGAAAATAACTCAAAATCAATCTCAAAATTAAGTTTGAAAATTTAAAATTTGGCTTTTTCTTTGGCTTATTAGGCCATCCGATGGGAGCCTTAGTAACTTTGTGCATGCAGCTTCTTTATTATATTCTCTCTTGATGACATCTGGCAGTGAGCCTGCAAAAAACTTATATTTGACCATGTTTTATTATCTTTTTGTTAATTATCTGAATCGATTTTATTTTACTCCACCAGATCCACGGCTCACAATGGGCTATGCCCTTCTCCTCGATTAAATGTTGGAGATTTCTCATACAACTTTCTTGTTGGAAAAATCCCACCGTGCTTGAAGTATCTTCCAAGGTAGTACCATACAGTGTGTTTGCTACTGCTTTAAGGTCCATCCATTTACATGGCTTGTCTGCAGGTCAAGTTTCCAAGGGAACTGCTTACAGGATGAGTACTCTGTCCGGCAGCGGGCTTTCCAAATTTGTATAAGTATGTATTTTTCCTTCTAGCATTAACAGGATTACGCCCCCCTCCCCCCACCCACCAAAAAAAAAACATTAACAGGATTACTTCAGCATGCATTAAAGTGATATCCTTCTATTGGAATTTCACGATGTACCTGCAAGTGGTGTTGTGATTGATATCCTACAGGCCTACACTTGCAAAATTTATCCGTGTCATGATAAGCAGAAGTATCCCCTTTTATCTGCATTCAGTATAGCCCTCTACCTTTACAGTTTCACTGCTTTATTTAGCAATCAATAGAAGGCCAAGATAGCCCACTTGATCTTTGCATGGTCAACATGATAAGACAATTGATGTGCTTCATTTTTCCGTCTTTATTTTTTTAAAAAAAAAGTGACAAAACTTAAAGCAAAGAGGCCAATATTGAATTTAAGCTAAACTTTAAGCAATTCCTGATGTGGGGACCTGACGCAAAACACCACACTGAAATTTTGCACACCAATTAAATTGATTGCATTTCTTTACTATTTGAGTATTGTTGGGTAACTAGTCGATAACACCATGTACTGATATTGGCTGAATCCACTCATTTTGTCTTAGGTGGTTCTCCGGCTGGCCAGCGAGGTGGCGTAAAGGGATTCAAGCATCCCACCTCTGACCATAAACATGAAAGATCACCACAACCAACATGGCTTCTCATTTTAGAAATTTCAACTGGTATTCTTCTGCTTGTATTTGTGATCACTGGTGCAATTACTGCTTCCAGAAGTTGCAAGCTAAAGCCATCGATAAGAATATCCTCGTGGAACAGATCAAAAAGTTGGAGTGATGAGATAACAGTGCTGATCGGTTAGTGCTGTTATCGGTTAATTAATTGATATGATTTGAATAGTGCTGTTAATATCTTAATGCTCTCACCAGATTCTGATATGCTGAAAAGCCTGCCAAAGTTAAGTCGCCAAGAGCTTGAAGTAGCTTGTGAGGATTTTAGCAACATTATTGGTTCATCTCCTGAGACAGTAGTGTACAAAGGAACCATGAAGGATGGACCTGAGGTTTCTGTCATATCATTATGTGCCTTTGAAGGTCATTGGACTAGCCAACATGAACTATTTTACCAAAACAAGGTAAAGCTTAGCAAAATTCTGCTGTGAGAACAGTATGTTGTCCCACAATATTAATGGGTGTAAATTTTAGGTTATTGACCTGGCAAGGTTGAATCATGAGAACATAGCAAAATTTCTGGGCTATTGCAGAGAAAGTGACCCATTCTCCAGGATGCTAGTGTTTGAATACGCATCAAACGGGACCCTGTTTGAGCACCTACACTGTAAGCCAGCCTCTTTATTTTCTGACGATTATGTGATGCTTAGTTATTGCATATTGCATGTGTTATGTGCAGCAGGTTTGCTTATTTGATTTTTATGGGGTTCCTTCAGATGGAGAAGGAGCTCAGTTATCTTGGCTCAGACGAATGAAAATAGCCATTGGCATCGCGCAGGGTCTAAGATACCTGCATACCGAGTTGCAGCCTCCATTTGCTATCTCTGAGCTGAATTCCAACTCTGTATATGTTACTGAAGATTTTACTCCAAAGGTAAGGTGCACGTTATTTTTGGTTCTTCAGAGATAGCCTTTCCTTGTCTGTTCATCCCTATCCTTAGAGTGCAATACTCTCCAACCTGGTGAAACAAACACAATTGTTTTCCATTTTTGTTTTCAGCTGGTTGATTTTGAGTGCTGGAAAATGATGTTCACCAAACAAAAACATGAGAAGGCTCCTGGCCGCATCAATAACAAATCCTCTTTCCCTGGCCACTTGGATTCTTCAGAGGACAAACAAGCAGACATCCAAGGCAATACATTTGCTTTTGGAGTGATTTTGCTGGAGATCATCAGTGGACGGCTTCCTTATTGCAAGGACAAAGGCTATTTGATTGACTGGGTGAGGCATTCTACTCTTTCTCTATCTCATTGTGACAAAGAAGTAAATATTTTAGAAATTGACTCTGAAGTCTGCTCAAGAGGACCAGAGCCTAGTTCCACCATGAACTTAAAATGACTTAAACAAAACATATAGTTCAGAAAATACAGGAGCATGCAGTTTGGAATATTAGTTGCATTGAACATTTGCACTGCTTATTCTGAATATGCATTCTCTACATTGTTCAGGCCATCAAGTATCTGCAGCAGACAGAGGAGATCGGTAAGCTTGTCGATCCTGAGCTGACCAATGTCAGAACAGAGGATCTCATGGTGATCTGCAGCGTAGTGAGCCGCTGCATCGACCCTGATCCATCCAAGAGACCATCGATGCAGATCATCACAGGAGTTCTGGAGAACGGGATCGACTTGTCGGCAGCCGCCATCCTGAAGGAATCCTCTCTAGCATGGGCTGAGCTCGCCCTGGCGTTGTAGCATACCATTCTTACCGCTGTAAATTCGTCCGTCACATCACACACTAATATTTATCTGATCATGGCCATTGCATGCTCGGAATATAGAGGAGCTGAGACGCACGAGCAGGCAGGCACTAGTTCAGTTTGGTCGTGATACTGTATTGACTGTTTTTGACTCATAATGCTGTATGATTTACAGTTGATTGCCGGTATTGCACAGCAGGTGTTTCTTCAATGCCTCACCGGTCTAACGAAATTCCTTTGTTCGCCTCTGCTGGCATACATGTGTAAGTTTGTGGTGCAACCTATTAGGATGAAAACCGGCATGGAAATTCCCAATTGGCTCTGTACGGTTTTCGATCGTTTCTGATCATCACCGCGTATGAATATTGAAACTGTTTTCCTAGTTCTCTTATCATCGTATTGCGATTACCACTCGAAAAATTAAATTGGTAAATATGGAATTTCTCGACTGACACGTACAAATGATATCGCATCCGACAGTTTTCGTTCTAGGCTCCTACTCCGTAGTGTATGCTGCGTGCTGCACGGAGTTTGGAATTGTCTTGGATTGTTGGAATCGGCATCATTTTTCTATCCGAATATTATGTCAGGTTTCTGTGCTGCGTTTCCTCCAACTTGGCATGCTGCAATCCTGATAACATCCACAGAGATGGATTGAGAATTCCAGGCAACTACGCGAATCACAGGTTGGGGCAAGGCGCAGGGACGCGCACGCGTCCGGTTCCAGGGGTCGTGGAGGGGAAGCCAAGGGAGACCCCAGCTTCGCCGAGCGCCGGGCGATCGCGGATTTCTCGTGGTTTTGATCGCGTATTTTTCCCGTGGTTTTGGAGGCTGCACGGGTCGAGCTCTATCGAGATTTTCGGCCACCTCCTTCCCTGTGGCCTTGTGGGCTTGCGTGGGCTGTGGCTGGGATTCGCTACAGGGATACGTAGGAGCGCTCCTCCATCAGTTCTCGATTGTCGATTGCGCTGCGGAGACGCCGAGAGATGGGTGTTTTGTGGGCGCCGGCACCCACTGACCCACCAAACGTCACTTCCCTACTGTGGGACACCACGTTGGTGGGGCCCTACCTTCCTCCGTCGTTTCTCAAATCCGGAAAGCAAGGGTGATCGTTGGATCGTTGATCGATTGATCGATCAGTTTGTGACTTTGAGGAAACGTCGCCGTCGCCACTGGCCGGCACAGTGGGCGAGTGGCAGCGGCGCCGCGGCACGTCATCCCTGACGATTTTTTGTTGCAAAAAACCAGAAACGACTCCGCGATAAGGTCCATTGACGTGGAAATGCACGTCGTTGTCCCCAACAACTGAACCACCAAATCAGCGAGCGAGAGGTGCCTGACCTCTGCTGACGAACGCAGCAACCGGTGGTATGTATCCAGTATCCACCTGCGTTCTAGAATATGCCACGAACCCGCGCCTTCTTTTTCTCTTTTCTTTTCCTCTCGACTCGATCGACTGGTAAAAGTTGGACGACCACTGTGCTGTGCTGTGGGCACGCGCTCACGGGTGGAAAAACGACGACGATAATATGACCAACACGTACAATCAGTTTGGCCGGTGAGAAGTAATAACAACAATTCAACACGTACGAAAGGACGGGAAACCGAAATTTTACTACTCGTTAGCACGGGAAACCCAACCCTAAACGAAGCTACTGGTTGTAGCCGAAGTAACCAGAAAAAATCAAATCAAGACACGAACTTGATAGATACAGTAGGACGATGGCATGCGATGGGTTGGTCGGGAGGTAGAGACTTTTATTACGCCTTGGTGGGCAGCACCGGCACGACGAAGTGCTGCGCGACGATGCGGCGCTGGATCTTGCCGGTGGCCGTCTTGGGAAGCTCGTCGGCGATGTACACCTTCTTGGGCACCTTGAACGCGGCCAGGTTCCTCCGGCAGTAGGCCAGCACCTCCTCTTCCCCGAGCGACACGCCCTCCCGGGGGATCACCGCGCAGTTGATCTCCTCCCCGTACTTGGCGTCGGGCACCCCGAACGCCACGGCCTGCGCGATGGCCGGGTGCCCGAGCAGCACCGAGTCCACCTCGATCGGCGATATCTTCTCGCCGCCGCGGTTGATCAGCTCCTTGATCCGCCCCACCAGCCGCAGGTACCCCTCCTCGTCCACGACGCCGATGTCGCCGGTGTGGAACCACCCGAACCGGAACGCCGCCTCGTTCGCCTCCGGGTTCCCCTTGTACCCGCTCGTCACGTTGGCGCCGCGCACGCACACCTCGCCGCTCTTCCCGGCCTCCACCCGCCGCCCTTCCTCGTCCAGGATCGCCATCTCCTGACCCACCGCGCGCCCCACCGACCCGGCCTTCCTCGCCCCGTCCTCCGGCAGCGGGTTCGACGTCATCAGGTGCGACGCCTCCGTCATCGCGTACGCCTCCACCACCGGCGCCCCGAACGCCGCCTCCAGCTTCTCCATGATCGCCGGCGCCAGCGACGCGCTGCAGCTGCGGATGAACCGCAGCGCCGGGTACTCCGCCTCCGGCTTCGAGGTGTGCCGGTCGATGATGATCTGGTGGATCGTCGGCACCGCCGTGTACCACGTCGCGCCGGCGCCGCGCATGTCGGCCCAGAAGGTGGACGCCGAGAAGCGCCCCGCCGCCGGGAGCGTCACGGACGCGCCGGACGCCAGGGAGGCGAGGAGGCCGCAGAGGAGGCCGTGGACGTGGAAGAGCGGGAGCACGATCACCGTCGCGTCCGCCTCGGTGAGGCGGTACACGGCGCGGATGTTCTGGACGGACGCCGCCAGGTTGCGCTGCGTGAGCGGCACGCCCTTGGGCCGGCTCGTGGTGCCGGAGGTGTGCAGGAACAGCGCCACGTCGGACGGGTCGTTGGCGAAGTCCTTGGCCGCGGCGGCGGCGGAGGCGGGGAAGCCGGCGAGGTGGACTTGGCCGGCGGCGTCCTTGAGGCTGGCGGTGGTGTGGGCGAGGCCCAGCTTGGAGGCGGCCGCCTGCGCGGCGACGTTGCCCTCGGGGTTGGTGATGAGGAGACGCGCCCCGGAGTCGGAGAGGTAGAACTCGAACTCCTCCTGCGTGTACGCCGGGTTCAGCGGCGCCGCCACCGCGCGCGCTCGGATCACCGCCAAGAACATGATCACCAGCTGCAAAAACACACAAGAACCAGATCAGCATCAGCAGCTCGATGATCGTCACCGTGATATCAACAGCTTCTGTGACTGGTGCTTTACCTCGACGGTGTTGGGGAAGGCGAGCGCGACGACGTGGCCGGGGAGCACGCCCGCATCGGCGGCGAGGCGCGCGGCCGCGGCGTCGACGAGCGCGTCGAGCGCCGCGTGCGACAGGTCGACCTTGCCCGGGACGGCGAGGGCGCGGCGCGAGGGGAACGTGGCCACCGCCGCCTTGAGCAGCGTGGTCAGAGTCGGGGTCTCCATTGGGTCGCCCGCTGCAGGTGCTTCACGTACAAATCTCTCGTGCGTCGCGTTGGTTTGTGTGTGTGGGGAGAACGTGTCGTGTGTTTGGCGCCTCTCAAACCGTTTGGCCGTGTGGGGTTTATATAGGCGCGGAAAACCGAAAGGCCCTCCTCTGCTTCGCGTTTGGGCCTCTGCTTCGTCAGCCACGGATTATTGCTGTGCTCTGATAGTGAGGTTTACTGGAGCTCAGCTCACAACCAAAATCAAATTTGGATGTTTGGCCTTTGCTTTGCCTCCTTGCATTGCACCAGGTGTGTGCGTGTTGACGATGGGAGGCCTTTTTCTTTCTTTATTTCTTTTTTTTTCGAGGGTTCGTGTCGTAGCGACGAGTGTCTTCCTGCTGGACCCCACAACTGTTGCACGTGGACGCATAGATTAAACATTTTGATCCTAATACGACACAAAATCCTTTTGATTAAACATTTTTCTGTGATATGATATTCTCCCTGTCCACCACTGCGCCGAGTCTTTTTTGTTGTTTCTTCAACGAAACTACTGTCTTTTTTTAGGCCTCGCTGGGAGGCAGAGAATCACTTGCTACTGTTTGGCACCGAAGAGAACGCAAAAGGCTGGAAAATAATTAAGTTGGAGTGTTTCCTTTCTTACGTGTCCGGGATTCTTGTCTTGTGCGGTTTATGTTATCTCTCACGGTGTTCAAGGGGGAAAAGCCAGCATTTTTATATGCCCATCCAACTGGGCATTGCAAGCGTCACGAGTGCGCGCAGCTGATGCAGTTCTAAATTCCTTTTCTTTTGGATATAAAGCTAAGAAAACAGGACGAGTCGATCGTGCTCAGTATGCAGCAGCAGCCGGTGGTCAGCCAAACGTCGACCCGGCCGGTTATTTGTGGCTCAAAGTGCGTGTGGAAACGCTCAAACTGATTGATTAATCCGCGTCCGTTTCCACCGACGGTAACCCAGAGCGTAATACTAGAAGCAAAAGCTATCGACACCGTGACCGTGTATGACTAGAGAGATCTACTAGAATATACTCGATCGAGGATATTCCTCTCTCTCTCTCTCTCTCTCTCTCTCTCTCACTTGTCCGTTAGAACTATAATAATTATAAACTATAAATAAGGAGACAAATTAACAGAAATTGTAAGGTGCCAAATTGTAAGGTGCCAACAAGCTCGACGTCCATATCAACTCAGCTCAGTTAGTACTTATACTACTTCTTTAAATACAACTATCATTGAAACAATTGATTAGTAGCGGCTGTGATTTAAGCGCAGTTGTATAGTAGCGGGGGACGTAACGGTGATAAGACGTGTCGAGCCCGGGCAGCCGGCCAGCCAATGTTTCGATCGAAATGGAAAGACCAACCAGGCAAGCAAGCGGCGCCGCGTACGAGCGAGCGACTGTGCGATCGAGGCGAGGCGAGGCGAGGCGAGGGCGCGCTTGGACAGGCGGGAACCGGGGAAACACGCATCATAGAGCGGCTGATGCGAGTCGCTCTCTATGTTTGGTTTGGATTGAAATCAACTAGCGATTGCGCGGCTATCACCTAAACAAAATCATATATTTTTTATATAATTTTACTTAAATTTTATTAAATAGCTATCTTATTGTCTTAAGAGTTTGAAAGACCAAGTTTGAAAGACCAAACCTTATCATCTACGTGTTTCTAATTATATAGTTTTTTAAAAGTCACACCAGTTGCTACCCCTATGTCATCTCCTTCTTTATTTGCTTGCAAGATTTATCACTATTTCTATTCATTCTCCTTGGAACCTTTAAAGTTTGGATCTTGTACTTTTTAGAGTTTATTGTCACGTTGGATTCATTTTTATAATTTCTAGA